TAATTTATTATATTTTGTGTGCTGCAATCGTGTTAGGTTTAGTAGTAGTAGTATAGTATAATTTTAATTTTAATTTTGAATATAATTTGAATTTTAATTATTATATGTTTTGAATTTTAGTATAGCAAAAACATGCAAATAAACCAAACAAAGCCATCCTCTGCTTTAGAACTCTTCTTCCGGTTCTTTTAAGTCATGAGAATTAGTTTCTTTCACCTTCAATTCTTGTCTCATCCTTATACGTAGGCTTCCAAGTTCCAACCAACCCAAAAACACTTAAAAACAACCCAAACAAAGCCCATTCCCTCAGTTCAAAACTCATCTTCCCAAGTCGTTTAAATCATGAGAATTCAAAAGTCCTTTACCATCAGATAAGTTGACTACCCAATTTAGGGTTACTCAATAGTTTGAGATTGAAATTAATTATTAAAAATAAGTAAATTATGAGTAAGTCAAATCTCAAGCCCAACAAAAAAACAATAATTCTATTTGTTGTTTTCATATGAATCCATGTGTTATTTCAAAGTTTATATATTGGAGAAGCCTGCAAGGTGACTCAGTTTGGCTATTCTTAGGGTTTGACAAAAACATAAGTTATTAAATTTTTCATTGGAGACATGTATCTTGACCTCTACCTGTTTTTTTCTCTGCTCGTGGTTACATGTGACTCACATACCGCAACTTGGAAGCATTCCATGATGTCTTCACAAGTAAAAACAATTGAACAACAACGACAACGTTTTAAAATTTTCTTTGAAAAAGCATTCTACCATGCTTTTATATCTTACACTCAGTTAATATATATAGTTTTTCTTTTTCTGTAAAAAATGTCGCATCCAATCCAGTGAATCGAAATATATTTATTCTCAATTATTACAAACTCTTATAATATACCTCGGTCAACATATATATATATATATATATATATATATATATATATATATATAATTAACCTTGTTTAATTAGTATGTAATTAATGTGGTGCTCATTATCATCATCAGGTTCGTACGTAACTTTTTGAGTGCTTAATTTCTCTATATTTTGTTAATTTGAATTAATTTTTGTTAGGTAATTTTAAGTTTTATAGAATTTATATCAATTAATAAATAAATACTGAAACTCTTTACACAAAGATCGAGAAACTCTTTACACAAAGATCGAGAAAGTAGTATTACACTTGATCTTAGCCAAAAGGCCAAGAAAGGTTAGCCAAAAGGCCGACCCAAACAAAGGCCTAGAAAGTAATACTACAATTGATCTTAGCCAAAACACCAAGAAAAGTCTTAGCCAAAAGACCAAGAAAGGTTAGCTAAAAGGCCAAGAAGGTAGTAGTACTACACTTGATCTTAGCCAAAACACCAAGAAAGGTCTTAGCCAAAACACCAAGAAATGTTAGCCAAAAAGCCAAGAAGGTGTGATCATAATTTTTTTAGCTCTATAGTTTTTATAAGAGGCTTTCATGTAATCTTTTTTACTTCAAACCAATGTGGGACTTTGTAATTTGAATTAAACTCTTTTAATATTTTGTTAATTTGAATTTTATTAGGTAATTTTGAGTTTTATAGAATTTATATCAATTAATAAATAAATACTGAAATACTAAAACACTTTGCACATTTAATAATAGTATAGATATATATTATTGGGTACTTGGTACCAGTAATACAAGTACAAAACATCCCTCTAAATAGAAAGTAACATTACTTGGCGATCATCATGAATATATTGAGTGGGAATGGAATGTAAGTAGAAACATAATAAGAATGGTGCATGAGCAAAATAAGAATCATGAAGGAAATGCTTATTCTCATGTTTTTTTGTTCGGTAGTACACAGAATGTTGTAAGATTAATAACATGATCATTCTGATTATTGTTATTCTCGTGTTTGATTAGACTAATTTAAAAAATTAACATGTTTCAAAATAATTTTTTCAAATTACCCTTGTTAACAAAAACTAAATTAATAAAGTGGAATATATTATGTTATATAATTAAAAAGTAATTATATAAACAATAGTGGTTTTTTTTTTTCAGCAAATGGCTCTTTTAGTGTAAAATCTGCATATCAGTTGTACTTAAGTTAAAAAGAGGTGGGATGTGGCATGCCAACAGAGGTGAATGTGGAGCAAGTGGGATAGCAGAACGTTAACAACAGTGGAAACATCTATGGAAGTTGAAGATTATGCCAAAAATTAAACATTTCTTTTGGCATTGTTTAAATGAGGATGTGGTTGTACTAGAAAGTTTGGGTATGAGGAAGATGATGGATGATATTATATGTAAAGTATGTGGGTTGGAACCTAAATCAGTTAGTCATCTTCTCTATAGGTGTCCAAGAGCCAAGTTGGTTTGGAAGCTTTTTAGGCTTAGATTAGATGGGGAAGAAGTTGGCCATGGACAATGGGGAAGAAGTTGGCCATGGACAATGGGATAGATGGTAGAGATAAAAAATGGAGAACTGGTCGGGCTTAAGTGGGAGCACTCGATGAAGAGTATGGTTGCTTTTCTTTGTTGGTAGATTTGAAAGGCACGTAATGCTTGGGTGTTTGAGCAAAAATGGTGAGATGCAATGGAGATAGTTAGAATTGGAGAAGCTCACTATTTTGAATTTTTAAATTGTAATGTTGCTCCTTTTGCTACTATGAGATCACACTGTTCAGGGCAAAACAGTTATGAGAATCCTATTAGGTGGCAAGCTCCTCCAGTGGATGTGATTAAAGTTAATACTGATGTCTCATTTTGCAAAGTATTATGTGAGGCTGGAGGTGGAATGGTTCTGCGTGATCATAGGAGAAATGTGTTGCTATTGGCGTCTTTTTTCTTTCAAAGAGTTTGAAATCCGTTAGTGGCTAAAGGTTTGGTGCTTCGAAAGGTTATGGACCATGTTATTCGTTGGGGTTACAGTCGTATTGTATTTGAGATTGATGCAGAGGTCATCATCAAGCCTGCGATGTTGGATATATGGGTCTTCATCTCTTTTACTTAGCTCTCTAGTAGAAGGTATTCGTGAATGGCTTCATCATCACCCTGATTTTGATTTGGTGTATACGCCTAGAGTAGGGAATGAGGTTGCCTATACAGTTGCTGCTTATGCCTTACAGGAGAAAAATACATGTTTATGGGATGATAATTTCTCAGAATTTGTTTTGCATAAAGCTTGTTTGGATGTAATTTTTGATTATAATCAATAAATATGTTTTCTTGCTTCCGAAAAAATAATAATAATAAAAAGTAATATTGTTTATAATATGGTACAACAACTACCAAATGATTTTTTCAATTATTTAGGATCGAAAATTTCGTTCTATTTAACGTTATAGTCTGGTCAATTCACATAACATATTATATATATATATATATATACAAGAAAATAATTTAGCGTTCTTGATGTGAAGCCAGAGAATGTTTGAGAATTTGCCCACAAAAAAGGCGACGGGAGTTGCGAACCAAAAGAAAAGCAGGCGCTTCGCCGCCTATCCATCCATGTCGAGACCAGTCGGAAAGGACGGGCCCAAATGCCTATATAGACAAAAGTTGAAATAACCAGCCCAAGCAAGCGAGATCATGCAAGCCGTAAACAAAAAGTTCCAAACCCAACACCAGGAATCAAATAACTGTAAGTGCAGGAAGCACTCTTAAGGCGTGTATTGGATATTTGAAAATTCCAGAAATACGGCCTGACAAGTTTGGGTTACTTTTAAAAGTATTCTGAATAATAAATATTTTAGTTTTTAATTAAACATGGTAATGATACATTTTGAACTACCGATAATTTTGTAATTATTTAAAAATAAAAAATATAATTTAATATAATTTAAAATATATTATAAGTTAATTAAAAAAATAATATAAAATTTAAGAGAACATAAATAACAACATTTGGCTTTAAAAATAATAGAAGTTTATTAATGATTATATGAATAAAATTACAAATAATATATTATTTATATATATTATATTATATTTTTTTTGACGTATTCATTATGTTCCCTGATCTATGATGTCGTACCCATATCGGTATCTAAATAATTCATAATTGCTGATTAAAAAAAAAAATCATAATACTGAAATGACTTTATTGCCCTTTAGCAGACTATTTTTTCCACATACTTAAATTTTTTCAACACTCGTACTCACGGCCGGTATGCCTTTTGTGGGTTAGTGGGATCATAGATGTGAAGAGTCAAACGGTGCTTTATGAAGCAATAAATTGTTCTCTTATATTGAAAAACATCCTAGTTGATTGAAGGTATGATTTTCTTTATTTGACTAATTTACTTGATAAAACATATAGAAAAGTGTAAATAATTTTTTAAGAAATAGCTTTCATTCCCTTCAAACATACAGTGTCAAGTTAGAATATATTTTAGTGATATGCTTGAATTACACAGTATAGAAAATCAACAGCTATAGATTCTTCAAAGTTGATGTGCATAAATCAGATTTGCAAAGAGAAAATATATCAAACAGATGATATGCATAACTAAAACCACTTAATAAAAAACATTCTCCACTCTCTACCTATGGTAAAAATTATTTATATTCCAGCTATTTCTTTTAAACATAATAGAATCAAATAAAAACCCTACCATACAACTAAGCCTTAAAAGTGAGAGATAAGAGAATAAAATCAAGGATGCCTGTATTATGAAATAAATCCGAGAGTGATAGTTTAAAATTGAGAGAAATTTTATACCTCGTAAGTCACAACCAAAGAAAATCGATAGTTTAAGAAAAATTAATTAACATTGCACTTTAAAATTTTTTAAACTTAGAACGCTCTGCCTCTCCTGTCGAGACGAGAGATTATGCCATGACTAGAGTCACAGTGCAAACTTTTCATTACCCGCTGTGCTCTCTTTCTCTTCCTTGTTATGAAATTTCGATTCAATATATATATATATATATATATATATATATATATATATATATATTATTGAAGTGATGAAGTTGGGATTAAAGATCGATACAAGATTTATAGGGCAGTTGAAACATGAAAGACTGAAATGCTCCTGATATCTTTATTTCATTTTGTACTTGTACAACAAGGAAAGAAAAAAAAAATACAAATGCTAAACAGAAAAAATACCAAAATGCACTAGGTAGCTAGTTAGTTCTTGACTATGGGAATACATATATATATATATATATATATATATATATATATATTGTTAATTATTTACTAACAGAAAACCAATATAGAACTAAAGAGACTGAAATACTAGTGGCAGGCCATGAGTGGGCCTGAGGGACAGCAAGATAGAGGGAGAGTGAGAGTAGTTTGGAGAGAGGGAGAAGGAAAACCTAGTGAGAATTAGGGTTAACACAAACTTATACTCCATCATTGTCAAATTCCTGCCAACACACATTCTCCCTCCAAATCCGAAAGGCAAAAACCCCATCTTGTGCTTGCACCCGCCATACAAGTCATCCTTAAACCTCTCCGGCTTGAACTCATTCACGTCGTCGCCCCAAAGAGACTTGTCATGGTGCATGCCTACCACATCTATCCACATATTGGTTCCGTTAGGAATAACCACTCCGTCCACTCGAATGTCTTCTCTTGCTTGCCTTTGCACGTTCGGTGCTGGTGAATATAGTCGGAGGACTTCATTCATCACCCATCCCATCTGCAATTCAACATTTTCAGTCATTCAGTTTCATAATCTTCATAGCAATATATAAACAATATTACAACACTATATATATATATATATATATATATATATGTTAAATTACGTAGCTGCATGAAAGCTATATTCCTTACACTGGATTTCTGGATCTATTCAAAATTTCTCACCAAATATTAAATTTTAATACAGTTGTTTTGTGGTTGAAATTATATGGGCTTGGCCGGTTAAGCCGTGTACTAAAAACATGTGCTTTGGCCGGAGTAGTCCACATGGCCGTGTTTGACTTTTCTCAGTTGAACAGTCAATTAAACCATCCGGGTTGTGCCACGTGTCCCTCTAAGCCACTGACGAGTCATATAAAAGTTAGGTGGATCCCGCAGTTTCCACTTACGTTGCGGTCCGTGTTATTTTTTCACACGCTTAAACGGGACTCAGTCCTGAACTAGCACTCCATATAGGATTTTGGAGTCGCCCATTTTTTTTTCTCCTATTTTTTTTTCTCTCTTTTTGACTCGTGTATGACCTTTGAATATCATAAATATTATTCTGGACATAGATATCAAAAGCGCCACATTTATCCCACATTCTTAATTAATAATGTCAGTTTTCTACCAGCAACCCACATTCTTAATTAATAATGTCAGTTTTCTATCAGCAAACAACACAATCTTTGTTTCATTCTTATTGGGCCCAGTGATTACAACGTAGATATAGGAATGTCAACTTTATCTAGCCAATAAATAAATAAATATATATATATATATATACACACACACAAGTATATATATATTGAGTAAAAGATTTAAAAGGTTAGTTTAATGCATGAGACTCTCATCTTATTAAGTTTAGGAATGTCAGGTATACAAAGTATTAGCTTAGTTTTATTCATAGAAAGAACCTTTTTTACTATAGAACTTGAACGTTTTTTAATATGTAACTTTAACGCTGTAATAGAACAACTAAATTGTTCGATTGCGCCAAAGTTTACCCTCATTTGCTTATATAGATACAAATATGAGACACAAAAGCAAAGCAAATATAAGGTGCCTTATGAAATTAATTGAACCATGTATATGATCTTACCTTCTTAAGTCCACCAAGCATTGTAGCATCAACCTCTCTATCTCCGATCACTTCTTTGATCTCTTCTCTTAGGTGATTCTGCCATTCAGGGTGCACCGCCAGAAGTAGCAACGTCCACGTGACAGCCAACGCCGTGGTCTCAAAACCAGCGAAGAAAAATGTCTTGCACTCATTCACCAGCTCTTCGGTTGTTAGCGGCTTCCCAAACCGGCCATCCACGGTGTTCCCCGCTAGAAGTAGGCCGAGAAGGTCCTTCTGAGGGCGCCCATCTTTCGATTTCTTTCGGTCTGTTATGATTTTTAAAAGCAGGGCATCAATCTCCTTCCCTAGTCTTGTTGATTCTAGGGTTTTTCTAAGGTGCATTAACTTGCTAAATGGTACCCCAACGGAGCGATTGGTATTGAAGAGTGACACTTGCATGGCTCTCAATTTATCAAACACTTTCCTACCATTTTCATAACTTATTCCGAAGCTCGTCTTGGCAATGATCTCCGCAGCTGTGCTCATGATTTCTCTCTCGACATCAATTTCTGCCTTGCCGGAGTTGATAAGGGCTGTCCACCGGTCTATCATGTTAGTGGCGGTCTCCATCATTAAGCTTCCCATAGCCTATTGATCAAGACATTGTTGATTAGTTAGGATTATATATATATATATATATATATATATATATATTGACATAAGGATGAAATTGTGTGAGAGAGAGATATATATTTATATATATACCTTCAAGTTTGCTGGAGAGAATGCAGGAGTAATTACATGTCGGTGACGAACCCATTCCTCACCTTCAACCATGACCAAACCATTACCAAACATGGGATGTCTGTCGTGTTTAAACACAGAAGGCTTCCCCCAACTCTTGCCCATTACACCTGCAGACATCTGTTTTAGGAACTCCGGGTCTGCAATATATAAGAATGGCTCTGTTCCTAGCCAGTAGATGAACACCTTCCCTGCAAACCAAAACACATATGTTTTCTATATAGTAAGCACATTATGTACTCAAACACACACACACAAACAAATACAACACAGGTGTTTCAAATGATATATGCATGTCACACTTTCATTGCTGCATGTGAGAACTTGAGCACAGGTTTAATCTTATAGTCAGAAAATAACAATTTTCATATACCTTATAAATACAAGTAAAAAAGAATAACGAACCGGATTATATTTACTTATATATAGTATATATGTATGTATTGTCCTGGTAAATGGGAATATTTTATGTGTATAATCAAAGTAAGCAAATAGATGTAAAAAAGCTTACCATGGGATTTTTGCCAGCGAGAATAGTATGGGAAGACAGTTGAATGGATATCATGGGAGATATTTGAGGATAAAAGTGTAGAATGAGAAGCATTCAACACCTTCTTTTTCATATCACTAATATTTCCTAGAGGGAAACTTGGAATTGGACCACTAAATCCATTCCTCCTAAGTTTCTGATAAGCTCTGTTTGGGGTGATCCACCAGGACCATAATAAACTACAAAACATGAAGAATAGAAGGAAAGCAATGGACAGACTCATAGCATGCAACGACTGAAGAAATTCCATCACTTTCTCTCTCTCTCTCTAGATATATATCTCTCTTTAATGCTTAGAGCTATATATCTCTATGTTGATTGATACTTGTGATAGAAACCAGTTGGGGATGGGGGTATTTATAGATGGGATATGTGGAATAAGAATGTCAAATTTTTGACTGGAGAAACGACCAAATCTTTTGAAAAAAAATAAAAATAAAAATGGACCCTTTTTTTGTTGGTTAGGTTTGAACATTTTCGAACTCTCTAATTTGATTATTATTATTTTTTTTTATGTTAATTGTTGTTTTTGTTTTTTTGTATGTATATGAGTTGTTCGATATTGCTTTTCCTTTTCGATTCGTCAACTTTTACTATTCCTTGTCAATGTAAGTTTCTACGGCTCATGACGGTTCAAAGCGAGTACACATTCTAAGTGGGAGGCTGCCACCTGGACCTGACCAATTAATTAATGACATACACATCACAACAAAAAATTGTACTTCAATTCTTAATTTTTTTTTAGTTGTTATTCACACACACGATTCTATTAATACATTAACCCAAACTGTTAGATCATTGACCGGTTAATAATTATACTTCAAATTTGACGGTTACATAATTTTACATTACGTGGTATGGTGTAAGTCATGATTGATGACTGAAATAGCTGAAATATTGAAGTATTGAATCAAACTTAAATAGTTAGGTTATAGCTTTTCTTAAAAAATATTGGGTAACAAATTACCCATTAAAAATGAAGTGGAATCCGATCTAAGTACATCACAATGCATTTGATAACTTACAAAAAAAAATTATATATGTGTATAATTATACGATATTTGTGAATTGTTTGAAGCAGTGCAACCATGTGTGTTATAATGCAAACTGCGCGCAAAGAATCACAATTCTCATATATTAATGTTCTTAGTAAATATAATGTTAATTCAATACTAGTATTTGATAGGAAATAATGGGAAATTCTATAATACACGTACACATGCTGTTGAGGTAGTCGGGTGATTTAGCAAAACTCGGAAGTAATTATTTTAATAAATAAATAATCTTACTATTTATTGAAGAGAGACGTAGTAAATGTATTGATAATATAACTTTCCTATTAAAAGTACTTATTTCGAATAAATAAAATATTTAATGAGTATTTATTGGATAGGGACGAAGTAAGAAGTAAATATTTCCAATATGTAAGAAAATGAATAAGTATTTATTAAATAGAAATGTTATATCGGATAATTCTGTAATAGTTTCAATGATTTTACCATTATTATGTAGTATAATTCTTGGTATATATTCTTGGTCAATGTTCAAATATCATAACCAAAAGTCCAAAGTCAGTTAATGTTTTTCCCTTGTCAATTTTATTCCCACTTTTTTTTTTCGTGAAAAATCAAAAGCAAGTTTTACTTATATACTCAATGAGCGAATGTCATAGACAAAGTCTCAATTTATAACTTCACAATTTTCCTTCAATGTATAGATTTTTTCGTCACACGAGTTTGTAGATGTTACTGTCTCGTTATGACAAGTTCATGTTTAAGCCACACAATATTAATTAATAGAATTATAATAATTAACACGCTAATGAAGTGGAAGTAACTGTCTCGTACTTGAATAATTCTCATTCGTAAATTTACCAACTAAAAACTTAATATCACAAAGTTGAATTGAAATTGAAAACCAAAGTATAATTAATTATGTTGACACACCCTTTAAAAATCACCCAAAAATAACAATAAGTTAAGATAACTACCAAAATCAGCTTAATTTTGAATCCGACCTTCGACGGAAATACTGAAAATATAGCCTGAAATGATGGATTTTCCCCATGTAAAACGGCTTATAGCGCCGTGAGCATTCACTAGCATGTTTGTCATGACCATACGAAAAACACATGCAAAAGGTCAAAGTTGATTATAGTAGAAATTGTTTAAAATAATCAAATGAGAGGCTAAATGAATAGGTTGAACACGTGAACTTCACTCGGATACGACTTGTAACACACGTTGTGATTTGATTTAAAAGTTTCAGCTATTGAATACTGTTACATACTCGTTTTTATACGTTCAAATCTTTTCTCTATCCGAATCTAACGTAGGATAAAACCACTGTAAAAAAAGTCATTTTGGGTTTGTTTGGTTAGATAGAACTAGCAAGAAAGGAAAAGAATCGAAAAATATTTAAATTTTTTGTGCATTTGCTTAGGAAGAAACGGAAAGTTTTTAGGTAAAACACGCCGAAAAATTTTATTTCTCGGGAAAGTTGTGATGTTATATTTTAAATTCTTATTATACCCATAATTATCATTTAGGTTTCCTTTATCTTTTTCTCTCTTTTTGAAAGACATTTTTTTTCTAAACGTAAATGAACTCGTGAAATTGGGGAGATTTTATTTTTAGCAATTTTTTAATCTATTCCCCCCCCCCCCCCCCCCCTTCCCTTTTTTTTCAAATACGTATATACATATAACATATTATGGTGGGTATTTTTTTAGTGCATATGTATATATACATATCAACTAGGTTTTAGAATTTGAATACTAGAGTCATTATAAGTTTTAGGGATGTTATATGTAAAATTCTATTGGTTTTTGTTATTCTAATATAAACAAACATTTAGTGAAATAATCCTAATTTTATTCGATTTCATCAAAGCCCTTAGTATATAAATTGTAATGTCCAAATCATATATATATATATATATAAATATTTTTGACTAAAGAAATTCAGGTGACTTCTCATATAAGTTCAGAATATTATTATCAACAACAAAATTTGATGTATGAATTTATTTTACTCAAATTTATTTATATTTTTAGTATTTAAAATTACAACGGTAATTTTGACAAATACAATCATTTTCTTTTCTCTTTCATTCTATCCAAACTAACAACATAATATTTTCTCACAACTTTTTTGAAAATTTTTTATGCTAACCAAATGTACCATGGAAACTTAATTTTCTTTTCCTTCACTTCACTTCACTTTCTTTCACTTTCACTTTTCACCATCTATTTCCGTCTAATCAAATGGACCCTTTGAGATTTGAAAAGTAGTTATAATTTAAGGGTCAGCAATGAAGTTGATAAGTAGGATAAGAAGAATTCAATAACTCGAATGCCACTTGTAACATGTCGGGGTGGTTGTCATCTGATTTAAAAGTTTAAATTATTAAATAGTGTTACATATTCGTCCCTATATGTCCAAGTTTTTTTTTCATATGAATTCAAAGTAGGACAAGTCCCCTCTAACAAAAGTTATTTTGAGATTTGAGAAATAGTTATAATTTAAGAGTTACTAATTGATATAATAATGAAATTGACAAGTGCAACAATAAGAATTGAACAACTAAGATACCGCTTGTAACATGCTGGGTGGTTGCCATATGATTTTAAGAGTTTTGCCATTCCTATACGTTTAAGTTTTTCTCCATCCGAATCCAACATAGAACAAGACCCCTCTAACAAAAGTTATGAAACATTAGGCAAACAGATTAATTTTTTCGATCTTTTATTACTTACTTTAGAAAAAAAAAGAGCTACCTTGTAGAGACAATTTGATGAAATAGAAGTATAATATTGATAGAGAGGGTGGCTTGATGGTGCAGGGGCTGCGTCATTTTGCTGGGGCTGCCGTTGTGTGATTCATGTGAAACTCTAAGGTTTTAAAAGTGTAAATAAGTCAATTTTTGGGGAAAGAGAGAATAAAATTAAGTTGATTGAAATATAGGATATGGGTTGACTTCACTTTTCCTGTACGTGAGTGTGATTTTTGTTGATGGGAATTCACCGAATTAAGCAGCCCCCATCCACACTGCGAACGTGGATTTGGAACATATTGTTGTACTTGCAATCTGTTTATTAAGAAATTTTATTATTATTAATTTTTATTTTTATTTTTTTCTGTATGAAATTTTTGTAGGCAGTGTTCAAATTATAAAATGTCAACGCTCATGTTTGTATTTTAATCGTATCAATCTGAATTGACACGTAACTAATTTGAATTGACATGTAACTAAATGTATTTTAATTGTATTTGATTTGTCAACCTAACTCATAATCTATTTATTTAAAAATGTTGTGTTCGTGTCATTCTTTTAGTTAAACATTGTGCATTCGTGTTAAAAATGATATATTTAACTAAATTTGTTGTATTTGTTTTAGAAATAATTTAAACGTGTAATATCATATCATGTTGAGTCAAGTCTCGAATTATTTATTAAGCAAATTACGTATGTCTCGTCATGTTATTCATAACAAATGTTTATATTCGTGTCAAAGTTTTATGTATCATGTCATACTACTTGTGAAATAATCGCGTGTGTTTGTATAAAAATTTCTTAATACAAATAATAATCATAATCATAACCGTGTGGATACATTTAACATAACACTTAAAGATGATGTGCATATTGCACAAATTGTGTGGATACATTTAACATAACACTTAAAGATGATGTGCATATTGCACAAATTATCACCCCTACGAATGCTTTAATGAAGGATTAATTCAATTGTTAGAATGTGGAATTGGTCTCAATCTAAAGAGAATATACTAGCATTACTTGAAATTTAGGAAAATACATCATCGAAAAATGCAAAATTTATAGGTGTGATATTATTATACAAGATTCAATTGTCTGTATATAATTTTTATTTTTATTTTTATCTGAATAAATGAAACGTCAACTTTTTGAAAAAAAAAAAAAAAAAAAACTGAATTGCTTGCATAATGGGTGACGACATGGTAGCATTGATAAAGTCTGAGTTGGAATGATAACTTGGCTGTGAAGCGTTGTGTCCGTGTTTATGACTTGTGAGTAGTCTTGCGAGGGGTTCAACTTCTACTGTCAACTGGTTGCCACAATGGGAGGGATGTTGACTAACTTTACAGCCACTTATCATGAAGAATTATTATTATAAAAAAAACATATTTTAATGACTGAAAAAAATATATATATATAATAAAAAAAGGAAGGAAAAAGAGAAGCCGGGATTGAAAGATAAAATGAAAAGTCAAATTTTGTACTTCTGCTTCTACTTTTTTTCTTTTTTATCTTTTACCCTCTAACACTGTTGACTGATTTTTTAATTATTTCTTTCAATTTTCAAATTTCTTATACAATAATTCATGTCGCTTAGGCAATCACTTTATATAATCTATACAATAATTCTATACTCCCTCTGTTCCTTAATAATAGTTCAATTTCACATTTCACACTTTTTAAAGCCACAACTTTTATCGTATTTTATTGGGTTGGCAAAAGATGTATTTTCAAATTTGTCCTTTCCTAAAAAATAGAGTATTGATTTTTAATGGTGTCCACTTATTTTTGAGTTTCAAAAGTAGTAGTATGGAAAATAGGGTCCACTTATTTTTGAAATTTTAATTAGTTTAATCTTTTAGGGGTAAATTAGGAATGTAATAAAAAGTAGTGTATTGATTTATGAAATGTGACAACTAAAAAGGGACAGCAAAAAATGAGATAATGGACTATTAATATGGGACTGAAACTATATTAAATCGTTATTTTATAAAATTATTTTTTAATGATAACAATTTTTTTTTTAATCCAAATTTCATGTCTATTGAACAGTACAATTGATCAAAGAAAGAGGATATTGGCACATCACTATTATACTACAAGAAAAGAAGCACACAACAATTTAGAGAGTGAAAAGTAAGAAAAGTTTTTACCCCCCAAAAAAAAGTAATATTTAACCCTAAAAAAAAAAAATAGAAGGCCGGTATGAGAAGTTAAACAAGAAGTTTCTTTACAATGTGTAAAATGCGAAATGGAAAATGACTCTTGGCTTGTCTTTGGGACCAACCGACCACTGGAAATGACACACTTGTTGTCATATTTGTCAAACTACGATTTCGGATTATTTTAGATTATACGTAGTGGTCGGTTCACAATTCATGGAGGAGAGATACTGCAACTTTAACTATCTTCTCAACTTCTCAACTCAACTCAACTTCCTCAACAAAATCATTTCAGACCCACTTCCTTTGTGTCAACGTAGTCACTTCCTATTGAATCCAAATTCCGGAAATTAATTGTTTCCGACCTCTATATTTAGGTTTCTTGTTAGTGGGTCTCAATTATTACCGGAATACAATAAACAATCCGACCCATATCTTCTTACTCAATCTAAAGTTGACTTATTCTTCATCCATCCCATCATTTCATTTCATTGTTTTCAAGTGTTTTGTCTTAATCCAACATTGAATTTTTTTCACCCATTTCATCATTTCATTGTTTTTACTAACATAATTATTCCTAAAGTAAAAAATTATTATTTAGTGTCATTCCTATTAAGCCTTGGTATGAGCTAGGTTCATTAAATATTTTGAAACTATACCAATATATTCGAGAATTACGGGTACTTTCTCATCTTCTCATAACACTTATTCTTAAACTCTTTACATATTTAGTCATTTTCTTTCTCTAATCTCTCACACCCGTCTCTATATATAGCGTTTTCAAACCCAATACCTTGTTTGATGGACCGGTCCATAATCTTTGAATTATGAGTTACTATATTCTTTCGCTTGCAAGAAACACGCTTACATAATCACTTTACTCCTTTGGGAGCTTGAACCCTCAACCTTCTCTTTTGAAAAATAAAAAAGTAACATTGGGCTATAATGTCTGGTTACCATATCAATCTTCCTTTACAACTTTCCAATTTGAAATATGAAACTAATTCAATTGCATGCATAAGACCAGATGGACTGGTCCATAATCCTTGGACCAATCCTAATAGGTTTAAGGATATTTTTGTCATTTTATTTTATTTAAAAAAATAAGTAGAGCACAAGTGTAGAAAAGAGGAATGTAAATATTACCTCCCTAATTATAATATATATATACATATACATATAAGTAGAACCGGCGCGATCATAAAGAGCCTAGAGTCAAAACTGAACCGAAATACAATAGCTTTTCTTCTTATTTATTTATTTATTTATTTTTTTGGAAATACAATAGCTCCTTGGTATTAGAATTGAAACTAGACCCGATTAGATTCAAACTGATTTGCCGCCTTGCCGGTTATATGTGCATCCCTACCAAACATTCACTAGAGCAACACGTAACTAGAGGAAAAGCCATATACCTTTTTTAAAAAGAAACTAGTGTTCTTAATGTTATTGGCAAGTGCAATGGATCATATGATTCATATCTTGCACGTATTGGAAAGATTTAAACGTGGCATGTAAAGAAAAAAATACATATTTATATTATCTATATAGCTCAATCCCCCCTCCCTAAATGAAGTGTGGGCTCAGGATATATATGTGTGTGTGTGTGTGTTTATTTTGCATGAAGTGTGTGAAAGCATTTCGACTTGGACTCCAAAAAAATATCCAAATATTAGATAAGACGGCAGATATTGGACGGACTGACAAATGGAATTACCCGAAGAAAGAAAATGTCGGTTCCGCCAAAACAAAGTTGAATCTTGTTTTTTTATTTAGTTTGTTTGGTCCCAACCCAATTATCAATCGGACAGTGACCAATCAAAGCCCCCACACAAAATTTATTGCGTCAATTTTCACAAGAAATTTTGTTTGAAATTTGATGTCATTTTCTTATATTGTCACGGCTGATGTTTGGCCCCCTTACTTTGTTACTACGTGTTTGGACCATACTTCTCAATTCTTGAATTTTTTTTTTTTTTTTTTTTTCTTTTCTTTATGTGATAAAAATAATTATCGTTTTCCATGTGAAGCTATTGGACGCAATACTTCACTAGGCTTTTGCTCTGAAAATTTAGCAGCACTTGAGGAGTTCTTTTTTGACACAAACTCAGACTTTTGTTGTACACAAATATGGAATTTATAAGTAGTAGTATTAAATTTCTGGCTTATCTTATGCTTCAAGCTCCGGCAAAAAGTTTCATGTTTTGTTGTAAACGTGCTTACACGTTAGTGTTGAATTGGACCCAAATTCTCTTGAAACTAAGTTTTAATACACTCATTGGACTGTGATTACTCGGTTCAAATATCACATTCTAAGCTCCTACAAATTTGATACAATTTAGAGAACAAATTACGATATTTCTTAAATATTTCTCACACTTCCGATAACATTATAAGGCTACGCTTAAGAGTGGGCATTTGATTCGTCAATCCGCGAGTTTGTTTCGATCCAATCTAACTCCCGTGGATCGAATTGGATTATTAGACTCACAAGTCGGAGATGCATTTAATAATATGAATTCCGCAAATGCATTTAATAATACGAATTTCGCAATTCACGAATCGGATTATGAATTGGGCTGTTAAAAATCTGATTCATGAAATATATATATATATTTTAAGAATGTATTAGTTAATGATCTTTTAAATTAAAATTAGTTAATGATCCTTTAGTGGACTCTGAGAATGTATTAGTTAATGATCATTTAAATATATGAATTAATGTTGATAAATTAAAATTTTATTTATCGTTAAAAAAATAAAAATATTTGTGTATTTGAAAAAACTCCAATCCGTGAATCCGATCATATCCAGTCTGCTATTACACGAATCCGATCCGTTATCTCACTGATTGGTGGCAAATTTAAATTGATTAAATTTTAATTAATGTCTAATCATCTGACATGTGGGCCACCCCTAGCTACACTATACTTTTTTCTTTTTATTTTTAACTTGGCAAACACAAAAAGCAGCAAAAAAACACATCAAGACAGACAATCCTTAGCTGCTAAACTACAAATATTAAACGGAATCTGAACAAGAGCCACATCCTTTGGTATATGACTTTGAGACAGCGCCGCAAGAGTATGGGCAACCTCATTGCCATGCCTATGAACATGGCTAAGAGAAGATGAAGAAAAGTTCCGAAGCGCCACTTGAACATCAAAAGAAATCGCATGAATTTCCATAGGCCCTGGATTAACACCAGACATAGCATTGACTATAACAAGAGAATCACATTCAAACCAAACATGAGCAAAAGAAAAAGACAAAGCCCATAAAACTGCTCTACGGAGACATATAGCCTCAACCAATGTCGCACTGGAAGCAGAGAAAGGATTGAACACCATCGACGGCAGAATTTGCCCCGAAGAGTCACGAAAGACCGCACCACCACCCACTAAATAGGCCGAAACAGAAAAGGAAGCATTCACATTACATTTTACAATACTTGAAGGAGGAGGAAACCATCGAAACAGGGAAGAAGACACCAACGACCCAGATTTATCTCCGAACAAACTCTTTGGCAAACTCAAATGGAAGGACGTTGATGCATCCTTGAATTCTCAAAAAGAGGAGCATGCCAAATTAACAACGGCATTCCAAACCTCGTCATACTTCACCCTTTGCGATCTCAGGGAGTCATGCATGTGGCTAGTCATCCGATATGTGGGCCACCCCTAGCTACACAATACTTCACCCTTTGGGATCTCAGGGAGTCATGCATGAGATGATGGCCCACCATTGAACTTCCAAATCTGATCTAGTCAGAAAGGGGACCACACACTTTTCGTGTATTTGGCAAGAGACACAAGTCTAAAGTAGTAGTGGTGGCGGGATGAGGATCCATCCGAGCTCAATTCAATATATGAAATTCTAAGTCCATATCTGAGCCCAGTCCAATTGAGCTCGATCCAATTACCAATATAAAGTTAGACTTTGATTGGACTCGTGTTATGCGATACTTCGCCCAAATTAGGTTGAAAATTTCAAACCAAACCAGTCCACACAATGTAAAACTCGTTCAGATACAGGATTAGGCTTCGGATTGGATACAATTTGTACCGTTGAAGTTGAACAACACCTCAAGTCGACCATACTGTTCAAGTTGAACCACCTTAGCTCGAGTCCACCATTTGTTTCACAAAGCCGACCTTTCAAAATATTTGCCTGAATTCAACAAATTGCTCAATGTTTCAAGTTGGAATTCAACAAATTAATTTTATTATTTCGGATACTTCTCAAATACTTCACCGACACTTTCTGAATATTTCGTCGACATTTTTTGAATATTTCTAACACAACTCTACTAATTAATTTTGAAAATAATATGAATACCAACATGACAAAGTAATGAAATAATGGTATATATGATATAAAAATACAACAATAATGACATAATTTCATTTTCTAATTTATTTCAGAGTAACTTTTAGTATAAAAATTATAAATGAATTAAAATTTTATAATACTATTACTGAATAGATGAATAATAATAAAAATTTATATTATTACGTAGCTATATCCACACCGTACCAATATTTTATTTTTTTAAAATTTAATATGTCGACGTATCTATATTGTATCGTATCCATACTACATAACTCTACAACATTGCTTTTTGAAATTTCTTACATGTAAGAAAGTGAGTATTATTTTTTATTCTTTTTACTGTTGTGGACGTATTTTTTTAATTTAAAACAATTAGGTTGTTGTTGAGTAATCAACCAAGATTGAAGATCTTTTTAACTTGGTCATGAAAAGAAAATTTTCTTTCTTTTTACCTTTACAAGTGGCAGAAAGGCATTGACAACCTGCAAGACATGCGCATATCACAACTATTAAAAATAAAAAGAAACTACTGTTTGTGAATTTTTTTCAATCTAATGTTCACTTCTCATGATGAAAACAGTGTTTTCACATTTGATTTCAACAAACGTTTCACAATAGTGTGTCGTGTCATCTAATGTTACAACAAGTGGTCAAATCGAGATTTAGTTATAGTTTGGTCGAAAATTCAGCAGTTTTTTCCGAAAGTTTGGGATCAGTCTATGGGTTTTATAAGTGAGTTACACGAATTTCAAACCAAAAATTCCATGGATTAAGGATTGTAATGCCCTTAGTCTATGCCCTAACAAAGTATCATGTGATGGGCCATCTTAACTTTGCCCCGCAATCGACGGCAACGAACTCAAGTGTGTACCATAGTATTCTTTGACTAAGGTACAATATTTGAATGAGTTAACAGAAGTCTTCTCTGTTCATGTAAAATGCTTGTTTGTCCAGATTTGGACCTATTATGGTCTTCTTCCTAAGTACAATTTCATCTAGATTTGTCAAAAATTTGGTATGTTTTTGGTTCAACCATTAGTGAACATCGATTCATCAACTTAAATGAAATTAGTTTTCCTCCCTCTATGAAGTGGTTGGGTGTTCGAGCAATGTATATGTGTTTACTTAAATTTTCAGAAAAAAATAAAAAGTTCGATTAATCTTGATTTGATATTGGTTGAGTATAATTTAGCATACATTATGTGAATCGAATTGATGACTTTAACCACTCTTTCCTGTCCCATTGAGAAATAGAAATGACTAATCTTATAGCAAAGTGTCGAAAAACTCAACACCACCATTCTTGAACAACTTGGAGTCTTTGATTGAATCTATTTCCATTAATCAGTCCAAGCCATGGTTTCTTACTCCAAATTAAATTCCTTGTAATAACCATAAATATACTCATAGAACAGAGGAAGTAAGATTTAAGAAGTGTTTGTAACAAGAGAGTGTGAGGTGTGAGTTCAGAGCCAGAGGTCTTCGATTACACTTTTTTTTTATGGTAGATTTTGTTCTTACAGTCTTCATAATTAAGAGATCAGACGGCCTGTAATGACTGACACCTGAATGATATAGGTTGTGCGTGCAGCATAGGTTATACAAGTACTCGTTAGATCATCCTATAATATTTATTAACCGCAACGGTCCCCTTCCAAGTGATAAATGATTATGTACCCAGATTTTATGACCAGTGGTTAATGGTTACGTACCAAAACTTTATAATGTAGGTATAACCAAACAAATCAGGACCCAATTCTCATTGGCCATTGCAATGAAAACACCAATAGAGAAGCACATGCAACCACACACAAAAAACCACCTGTTGGGTTCAAATTATTTTTAGAAGAAAAAATTTTCATTTTTCCAAACTTAAAAGCTTTCTTTTCCACAATTTTGGAAAACTATTTTCAATTAACTGAACTAAAAGGGATTCACGTGTTTTGATTTTAGTTTAATTTGTCAAGAATATATTAACAATATCACAAGTCCAAAGATTAGACTTTTCTTCAGAATAATAGGAAATGGCAGTCATCACAATCCGGCATTAATGGTGCAGTCTTTGACGGTTCATAATGAAGTTTTCTTTCTCCCCAACTGAGTCTCATAATATTGTGTGGTGTCCCACTGCAACTTCACTAACGTCTAAAAGTTGGCAGAAGGTTGTTTTCACATCCAAGTCCCATTTACTCACTTCTTTATAATTTTATACTACTCTCAACTAAAACCAAGTATAAATAACCCCTTCCACCTAGTGTATCTTTCACAAACCTAAGCCAATCACAAAACCCTTGATTAGTTTTGGCTCACTCCATCTAAAATCAACACCCCATTATCTCCATATTCCATTAGAATTGTGACAATGGCTTCTTACAACAGCTTCAAGACCCTGCCAATCCTAGCTCTTGCACTTGCTTTCTGTGTCCAAGGCACTCTAGGTGAGTGAAAATCCTCTCTAACATGAAAACACACACACACACACACACACAACAATCAACACCTCATTGGGGTGTATACTTACTCTTACGCTTATTTGTTTATATGTGCATGTATATATTTATTATTTTATATATGCAAAAAGTTTTTATTCTTTCCCAAAAGTTCAACCAGACGTGAACACGCTCATATTTTTTACCCTAATACAACTCGAACACTCAGAGATCATACAGTCTAAGCTAATGTCCATGTCATGACAAGTGTATATATGCAAAAACTTGTATATGACATTTTCATACTAAGTACTATAGTATTAATTAGGACTGCTATATAGCATAGGCTAAAAAATTTGTAAGGATGTTATTAAAACTGTATTTTGGGGGTGTGCAGGAGGAATTGCATGTGAGAATCTGAACCAAGACTCTTGTTCATTTGCGGTATCATCTTCCGGCAAGCGCTGCGTGCTTGAGAAGAATGTTCGCCGGAGCGGGGAGGAAGCTTACACATGCGGTACATCGGAGATCGAGGCTGACAAGTTGAAGGACTGGATTGAGACTGACCAGTGCATCGAAGCATGTGGGCTTGACAGAAATGCACTTGGAATCTCCTCAGACTCTCTGCTCGAGTCTCCCTTCATTCAAAAGCTCTGCTCGCCTCTCTGCTACGATAGCTGCCCCAACATTGTCGATCTCTACTTCAATCTCGCTGCTGGCGAAGGTATTATAAATATTAAACATTAAAGTTACACGCTCTCTAACAATTTTAAAACTTTTTAATATGGTAAAACGCGACATGTGCAGGTGTATTTCTTCCAAAATTATGTGAAGCACAAGGTGAAAATGGACGTCGTGAAATGGCTGAGATCAAGAGCTCTGGATATGTTGCGCCTGCGCCTGAATCCGGAGGGGTGCTGCCTGTGACGTTCTTGAATGCGCCGGCAATGGCTCCAGCTTACTGATTTTCAGCATAATTTATATATACTATATTAGGATTTGGTTTGCAGTTAGTTCAATTTAGGTTTTTGGTTCCCATCTGTGTGGATGCAGAGAGAGGAAATATATAATCACCAAACAAATAAAATCAATAAGGTGGAGTGTGTAGGCGGATCAATTATGACATTCCATTGCTTGTAAACTGTAATGCATCATTAAACACTCTCATGTTGTACTTGGTTGTGATGGATTTGAGAGATATATGAAATTAAATTTATGGTTATGTTGGCGTGTTACAGTGCTGCTATATGTTATACAATTAAGTTCATATAGTTGCATGACATTATCAGATAATTGGACGTGAATTAGCACACACTAAATTGTGGGGTGAAAGCACCTACTCAAAATTTCTTCATTCAATTCAATTCAACAATCACTATACAAGAAATGATATCATTGTTATACTGAAATCACTTCAAAGCAATTTTATTTAATAAAATAAAAGGTCGAAAGTTCAAATTTTTATATGATTATGTGTAAATTTTCTGTCAATAAAAAAAAAAAAAAAATCAAACAAAACTATTATACCACCTACCAAATGATTTACACTTAAAAACAGTAGACCCCAATCTGGTGGACTTCATTTAGTCCAAGTGGCGCCTGTAATTAAAAGAGGTTTGTTGAGTTCATTAAAACGTTTCACGCTTTTGGATCATGAAATTTTTTGACGAAGAGTACCATTTTCCATTAATTTTTAGCCATTTGTAATTAATTAATTTTGACTAGTAGTTAACCCTAAGAAGGAAAAAAAGAAGGAAATATCATGAATTTTTTTCATGAAGAGTACCCATTGTCCATTAATTGTTAGCCAGTTAATTAATTAATTTCATGATTAGTAGTAGTAGTTAGCCACTTAGCCCTAAGGCAGGTTAGATGGATATAGAAAAAGGAAATGAAAATTTTCTAAAGAATTCTGGTTATTAGGAAAAGAAAAATTTTGGGAGAAATTTGCCTTCCATAACCACCTAACTTTCAGATAAAAAATTTCCTACAAAAAACAGCAAAATTTTTGATTTCTTGAGAAAATTTATGAACTACAATAATGTTCTTTCTGTTACTGTAAGTTTAATGCTACTAACTATAAAATGGTTATTTTTAAAAAATTTATTGGTTTTTTTTTTTTTTGGGGGGTACTAAACAAATGCATGATAAATTTTTTATTTTCCTTTCATTCAGTTAACTTTCTAGTTTCTACCATTAATTTCCAAAGGGGGCAAAGGATGATGGAATACGCTTAAGTGGATTGGGCTCTAAGTCACGTAAAATGTGAGCGAGAACGAATTCGAGAGCAGGGAGCGTGAGAGCGGCAGAATTAAGTAAAAAATGGTGAGAATTTGAGCGAAAGCGTGCGCAGAGTGTGAAAGCTGGAGCGCGCTCGGAGCATGAGAGCGACACCCATTAGAGAAGAATTATGTGACTTAGATTAGGCTTGTTTTAATGGTAATACTGGGTTTGGGTTGTCTGGCCCATTCCTATATGCGTCAATCATTTTTTTGGGCTAGATTATGAAAATTGGACATTCCTCAATAATCCATTTGGGCTACAGATACATAAATATTGGACTATGCCCATTGTCCAGCCCAAACAATCCGGGCCAATACTCAGTTTCCCATTCAGCAAAGAGGAAATTTTGTGGAGAACACACTTCTTTAGTTTTTTGTTTTTCTAATGGATCAAAGTGGACAGGTTACGGATAATTTATGGATCTCTAGTTTTCCACTGCTTCACCACTTAAAGTAAATCTCCCTAATTATAACACCCAAGGAAAAATAAATATATTGAGTATCCCGGTCTAACATTGTAGTATTCAGGTCACTATTTTTAATATTTTTGCTTACGAGTTCAATAGTTACTGGCTGAAACCAATGATCCTCCTAATATATATATATATATATATATATATATATATATATATATATCCTAGAGAAAAAAGAGTTTAAGATGAAGAACTAGAATTATAATTAGAAGAAGTTCCAAGATGACATTCGATGGAAATATATGTAAGTTGCTCTCTTTCTTTATACAATGAGAGCCTTGTTCTGGGTCGGTTCAAGCAGGATGTCTTTCAGTTTTTGTTAACTAAAATACAAGAGCAATTGTCCTCATGGAAAGCAAAATCTCTGTCGGCGGGTAGGAAAGAAGTGTTGATTAAGGCAGTGTTGAGCGTCTTGCCTACGTATGTGATGTTTTCTTTCAAGCTCTCACGTACGTTGTGTGTTAATTTGCTGAAGCATATTCGATCTTTCTGATGGTACAATAAGGATAAAAATCGTGCAATTCATTGGATTCATTGGGATTATTTATGTCGGCATAAGAAAAGTGGCGGTCTTGGGTTTCGAGATTTTGAGACGTTTAATTTAGTGTTTTTGGCGAAACATGCTTGGCGTTTTTAGGTTAATGAGCAAGGATTGGTGTTCCAGTTATTTAAGGTAAAGTATTTTCCTTCATGCTCGTTTTTGGAAGCTTTGTTGGGATCTAATCCCTCCTGGGATGGCCTATTATTTGGTCTACCCAGGCACTGTTGAGTAGGGGGTTGAAACCATTGATTGAAAATAGTAAATCTACGCATATTTGGAATGATCATTGGGTTCTTGTACTCCCTTAGAAACTTTCAACACCACAGGTTGATGATTCTTTTTGTTCTGTTGCGGATTTGATTAATCACCGACATTCGACTTGGAAAGTGAATGTCTTGTACCGAGTTGTCTCTCCTCTTGAAGTTCAAGCTATTTTGTGAATGCATGTTAGCCGATGGGACAAGCCGAATGTTCAAATTTGGGCGCTTGAGATGATAGGTAAATTTTTTATTCGGTCTACTTATCATCTTGCTATCTCGATGAGTATGTCTTCGGTTGCTGCTTTGGCTAATTTTTCTTGGTTTTCAATTTGGCGGTGCAATAGTTTATCAAAGGTGTAACATTTTCTCTAGAGGTGTTGTCATAATGCGTTGCCTACTCATGTCTTTTTGTTGGTGCGCGGTTGTGCTATGCCGCCTTTGTGTCCACATTGTGGGTTGGAGGAGGAGTCAGTTGTGCATCTTTTGTTCTTGTGCCTTTATTCCATACAGGTGTGGAAGTTGACCCCGCTACGTTTTGAGTTTTTAGCATATCTGTTTTTCTCTCTTTCGTGGATAGGTGGTGTTTTATGGTGAAGCAGGTTGTTTCCTCGAGGGAGTTCTTGGTTTAATATTGTTTTGTGCTTGGTGTATTTGGAAAGTAAGGAATCGCTTAGTTTTTGAAGGGATGTTATGGAGGGCGGAGAAAGTGGTGGATAAGGCCGTAGCGAGTTTTTGGGAGTTTAAGGAAGCCAAGTCCCAATGTAAAGCTTTTGTCCCTGCAAAGGCTTTGCTGTCAGTGGTTAGTTGGGTTCCTCTTGGTCCGGGTACGATTAAATGTAATTTTGATGCAAGTTTTTGTTCGGGATTGTCCATGAGTGGGGGAGGAGTTGTTTTTCGTGACTTTAAAGGAACGATTCTTCAGGCGGTTGTGTTTTGCCCGTTCTATGCTTCATCGGCCATGGCAGCGGAGTGTCACGAAGTGATTCCTAAGACGCTTGGAGGATGGAAGACACGCATGCTGGTTGGCAAAGAGCAGAGTTTGACTGGGAATGGTTCCAGGGAAGGGGCGTGCAGGAGCACAGGATGGTACCTCTTCAGAGTTCAGGCAGGTCGACTCGGTTCAGTTCGAGGTGCTTGTCGCTGGTCGTGGACTTGACTATGAAGAAGGGAGTTGGTCATCCCTGCACAAACTGGTCGGGAGCTGGAGCCGTTCCCCTGACGAGGCCATGGCAGGCCGAAACCAGTCAGCATGTATCCTTGGGAGGGCAGGTCGTGGTGGCTGACCAGGGCACTTGCGCGAGCTGAAGCAACGCCTTGGTGCCGCACGAGCCGTGCCGCTGCGCCAAATCTCTAGGCCCGTGACAAATGGTATCAGAGCAGGACTTGGGGTAAAGCACGGTGGGTTGCCCCCTTGTCGGTCCGGGAGGGGTCAGAGAATGAAGACGGTGCATTGAAGTTGCGTCGATGTAGAGGAATCAATGCAGTTGGGGGGGAGAGCCTCCATCTCCCCAGGAAGAGGCGTCCGTTGAAGTTGCGCATTGAAGGGCCGGAGGGCCGCGCGCACCAAAGTTCGTGCTTAGTCCTTGGGTGATGCAAACCATGGTGAAGGGCGAGCATCAAGTCGGCAGAAGGCCATTGCTTGCTCGGGATGTCGCGGAGGCGGCATGACGGAGAAGAGTCACGTCCTTGAGGAGTGGACGTCCCCTTGGTCCGAGGCCTATCATTGGGCGAGTGCAGTGCAGGGAGCTGCACAAGGAAGCGATGGTGGGAAGGCGAGCATACCGCATGGAGGCAGACTTTGGAAGGGAGTGGACGCAATAGTGAAGCGTCGCACTGCGACGAGGACGTCGCAGGATTTGGGTGGGGGAGAATGTCACGAAGTGATTCCTAAGACGCTTGGAGGATGGAAGACACGCATGCTGGTTGGCAAAGAGCAGAGTTTGACTGGGAATGGTTCCAGGGAAGGGGCGTGCAGGAGCACAGGATGGTACCTCTTCAGAGTTCAGGCAGGCCGACTCGGTTCAGTTCGAGGTGCTTGTCGCTGGTCGTGGACTTGACTATGAAGAAGGGAGTTGGCCATCCCTGCACAAACTGGTCGGGAGCTGGAGCCGTTCCCCTGACGAGGCCATGGCAGGCCGAAACCAGTCAGCATGTATCCTTGGGAGGGCAGGTCGTGGTGGCTGACCAGGGCACTTGCGCGAGCTGAAGCAACGCCTTGGTGCCGCACGGGCCGTGCCGCTGCGCCAAATCTCTAAGCCCGTAACAGGAGGCTCTAACTTGTCAACGAGCTATTTATTGGGCTTCAGTTTTGGGTTATTCTTCTTTATGGTTTGAATCCGATGCTAAGGTTGTTGACGCTGTGGGGGATGGAGCGCATAATCCAGCTGAAATTGCGTTGCTTTGTTTTGATATCAAGGCAGATCTTCAGCGTTTTTCTTAGGCTTCCTTAAGTCATGTGCGGCGTGCGGGTAATCGGATGGCTCATGCCTTGACGATGATTTCTCGTGCCTCGGTTGCGGCTGATCGAGTGTTGCTTTCTATTCCATCTCGGATAGTGCAGCTTGCTTTGGATGATGTTTTGGGTCAAATTTTTTTGTTATTGATTTGTGTTTGTGGTTGGGTGTTTTGTTCTTCTGTTTGGTGTCCGTTGCCTAAAAAAAAATCTTATAAAGAGGAAGAAGCCAAGTTGATTTCTTCCTCGTATCACTCTCAAATTTCAAAAAGATACAAGGTCCATAGAAAATGGGCCTCATCATGAACAAGTTTGCCAATATTTTTATTGACACCTGGAAGCTTAAAGTGGACCCCAATGTAATGATGAATGGTAATGTTTGACGGTGCCGACCATCATTTGGTCAATAATTCCTCCTTTAAAAGAAGCCAAATAGGAGACGGCCACCAAAAGATTAATTTTCGGGAAAGCCATTCCAAGTTAATTAGGTCATCACTTCTTGAAAAGTTAATAGGACTCGTAATAAACTATATGATATTCTAATTCAATTAAAATTCATGGTCAGGATTCTTAATCTCTTATTAATGAATCTACCTTATTTGGAAGGCATGGTACATGTAATCACCACCCCTTTCAATTATGTATGGAAGGTAGAATCATTAAGCTATAAAGTTTTTGAACAAATAGTTCGACAAATTAGACTCTTATTTTTTTAAAAAAAGTAAAGAATTCGAGTTTTGAATGAGGCATGAGTGTATCAATACTAACTAAAAAAGAAAAAAAAAAAAATGTTTTTGATTCTCAAAGGGATACAGTTGATTTGTCCGTGTTGAATTAGTGCATATCATTACTAAATCAGAACTATTTAAATTTTTTTATTTATTTATCAGTTCTAAGCATTTCTATCCCTTTTAGATAAACTCAAATCCGGGTAATATTCATTGCATTAAAAGGGATAGAAATGCGCACAAGCTCATCCATTATATTAAAGGAGAGAAAATTTATAATACCCGAGGGTACATCACCAGAGTCCTCCCTATCGTTGGAATCCACAAGACAAATAAATTTTAGGTGCATTGCTCTAATCAGTCCAAATAACATTACTCTTTAAAAATTAAAAATCCACCAACATATTATTTGAAAAAAAATACACAAACATCGATGTCAAGTAACACATTTAATGCAAAAATGCAACATTCACGTCACATATTAGATCCAAGTGTAACAGCGTATGAATATATATATATATATATAAAAGTTCATGGGATTCTCTTATTAATAGTATTATTAAAGGTCAAAAAATTGTTTAATAACTTTTTTAATTAAATAAGAAGAGTTTAAGATTCTGGTAGAGAATAAATTGAAGAAAAAAAAAAACTTTATAGAGTAACTTTGATTTTGCTATGTTGCAACCTCAATTTAGCAAATGTTGCAAGTATTACACACCAAATTTAATGTTAATTATTGCATAATAATAGTGTAATGGCCTAGATTACTGTATCCAAATATATAGAAGAGAGAAATGAGGTTCCCCACATACATTAATTCCCGTATATCTATGTATATAAATGAGAGAATTCAGGCCCCCAAATATATAGGGGAAGGTACACAACCCAAGGCCGCCAAACTCGCCATCTCCTTCGATATACTCGCCAATTATACCACCCTCCGGTATAATTTAGATATATATATATATACACATACCCATTTTGCTCTCCGCATTCTAATATATCTCATCAAAAAAAAACAATAAAAAAAAAAAAAAAAAAAATGGAAGGTATGACACTCACCGGATTATTGAAAGAGGTCGCCGGAAAATTCCCCGATCGCCGAGCGCTGTCTGTTTCCGGCAAGTTTGACCTCACACACGCTCGCCTTCAAGAACTCATCGAACGAGCCGCTTCTGGCCTTGTCGCCGCCGGTATTAACCCTGGAGATGCCGTCGCTCTTACCTTCCCTAACACCGTCGAGGTTTGATTTCTTTTCGTTGTTCTGTTTTTTATATTTCAGTTTACTGTCAGTCTTGATCGTTTGTTTCCCAAGAAAAGTGCAAGAAATTTTGAGAAAATTGAATCTCTTATGCTTATGCCACAGAATAATTGTTTTCAATTCGTTTTATACAATTTAAAACATGATTAAAATATGTATTAATGCTTTTGATTTCTTTTCGAAGTTCTATTTCTATTCTGTTGATGTAGTTTACTGTCAGCGTTGATCGTTTGTTTTCCAAGAAAGGTGCAGGAAAATTTTAGAAAAATGAATGTCTTATGCTTGTGCCTTTCCATTCTATAACTCAATTTAAAGGTTAAAACTTGATTTTTGTTTTTCGGTTTCAATATATGCTAATGCTTTTGATTTCTTTTCGTCGATCTGTTTTTATTTTTCAGTTTACTGTCAGCCTTGATTGTTTGTTTTCCAAGAAAATTGAATATCTTATAATATTGCTTTTGATTGGATTTGATTACAGTTCGTAATAATGTTTTTGGCTGTGATTCGAGTCCGAGCAACGGCGGTGCCACTCAACGCGGCGTACACCGCGGAGGAGTTCGAGTTCTACTTATCTGACTCCGAGTCAAAGCTTCTCTTAACCTCGACAGAAGGGAACAAGGCGGCTGAAGCTGCAGCTTCGAAGCTCAACATTCCACATGTCACAACTACTCTGTCTTCAGCCGACTCCGTGGTGACTCTCTCTCCAACTAAGTCCGACTCAGATCCCAACTCGGTCTCCAAAATCATCAATGACCCCTCCGATGTCGGTCTTTTTCTCCACACCTCCGGCACCACGAGTCGGCCGAAAGGCGTGCCATTGACACAGCTCAACTTGGCTTCATCCGTGAAGAACATCATGTCGATATACAAACTCACTGAGTCAGACTCAACCGTTATAGTCCTCCCTCTGTTTCATGTTCACGGACTACTGGCTGGTTTACTGAGTTCACTCGCCGCCGGAGCCGCCGTCATTCTCCCAGCCGCTGGCCGATTCTCCGCTTCCACATTTTGGTCAGACATGCGCAAATACAACGCCACGTGGTACACTGCCGTGCCTACCATACACCAGATCGTACTAGATCGCCACGCCAGTAACCCTGAACCCGAATACCCGAAGCTCAGGTTCATTCGGAGCTGCAGCGCGTCGCTGGCGCCGGTTATATTGGCTCGGCTCGAGGAAGCTTTTGGCGCGCCGGTGTTGGAGGCTTATGCCATGACGGAGGCGACCCATCTCATGTGCACAAACCCGCTACCGGAGGATGGTCCGCATGTACCCGGGTCGGTAGGAAAACCCGTGGGTCAAGAGATGGCCATTTTGGATGAAAATGGTGTTGAACAAAAGGCTGGCTCCAATGGGGAGGTGTGTATCCGGGGACAAAATGTGACCAAAGGGTACAAAAACAATCCGGAAGCGAATAAATCCGCTTATCTGTTCGGGTGGTTCCACACCGGAGATATCGGGTATTTGGACTCGGACGGGTATTTGCATCTTGTTGGGCGTATTAAGGAGTTGATCAACCGTGGAGGTACTGTTCTCTCTCTAATACTCTATAATAATGTGATTAAATGCACTATAATGATAATATTTCTTTAAGATGATTGATAGTATTATTTTATGCCTGTTTGGAAACCTCAAAAGTCGACGGTTCTGTTTCCTAGCGGTCACACCTCGGTAATGTAGCACTATCTGACATTGACCAAATGATTTGTTAAATTAAATGCCCAGATTTTTGAGTGGGCAAAAGGGTATATTCTCAGAAAATGCTACTTGCCTTGAAAATTTGCACTAGAAAATACTACTTGCCTTGAAAATTTGCACTACTTTTGACCTGTTATTAATCATTTATTTTTTTACATTATTAAATATTTATTAGTAAGTGTTGAAAACTATTAATTGGAGAATTGGACAAATCTTTGATAAGTCACGAACTTAAAATATTGGATAAAAAATTTAAAAAGATTTTTAGTAAGTTTAAAACAACTTTTAACTACTTTTTTAATCATATGATTGGAAGTTTGGCCAATATATAAAAATATTACTAGTAGTTATTTTAAGGTTTTTCTATGTTCTTTAAAAAATCAAATTTTGGTTCAGTTTCATGATTTTACTACTTAAGATGTTAAAGTTTTAGAAGTTAGAGTTGGAAAATTTTAAAGCTTAGATTTATTTTATTTTAAAATATCAATGGGAGAGATTTATTCTTTTTGAAAATATGATTTTAATAAATTATGGCCTTTAAATTTCTAAAACAAAAGGCAAACTTTTTGCTAACTTTATGATCCCACTATTAGTAAACATTTGATTTGTATAAAATATGGAATGGTTTAGAAGAGGAGACATGATCTGTCTTGTTACCATTTGCAGGGGAAAAGATATCACCAATTGAAGTGGATGCGGTGCTTCTATCTCATCCAGACATTGCTCAAGCAGTCGCTTTTGGTGTCCCTGATGACAAATATGGAGAAGAGGTAAAGAAATACATTTCAATCTCCACCTCTCATTGTCTGTCACACATTATCATGCAACACTAATGGACATTATAAGCTAGCTGCCACAAGCCCCACACATTGCAAGTTGTGTGTGGTTATGGGCCCCATTTAAAACGTAATCACAAGAATTTCAGGTTTGAAGGATTTGGATTCATGTGAAATGCACCTTTCATGACTCACCCATTCATGTATTTGGCACATGAGTAGGTTTCACTTTCTGATCCCATTCTTTGGAAAGGGGAGATTAAACTGACGGGAGAGTTTTGATGCATGGTTTACTCGCAATAATTCATTATATTTTACAGAGCTCGAACATCCAATCTCTCCTCTGAAGAGAAGAACTTATACCATCTAAGCAAGTGTCTGTTCGTGGATCATTTTAAAATTTTTAGTGGGAGTCATCTTTCGATCCGATTTCTTTGATTATGGGACCATTTGAAACTAAATGGCATGAAGGAAATCTAGAGGCTTATAATCTGCTTAAAAAGAAAAAGAAAGTGATTCCTCCTCCTTGGAATTCTACTATTATACAGATTATTAAGTACATAATAAGTTTTGCATTATTCTGCTAATTGCTTGGTTCCAAGTTCAGCTGTATGACCTTTCACATCAGTTATGATTCGGTGGCTATGAAATTTAATGAAGCTTCCAAATGCTAAACATGTGTTTAAACATCACTTTGTGTTGCAGATAAATTGTGCTGTCATTCCTAGAGAAGGATCAAAGATAGACGAAGCTGAGGTGTCGAGCTTCTGCAAGAAAAACCTTGCTGCTTTTAAGGTCCCCAAGAAGGTTTTCATCACCGATACTGTCCCAAAGACTGCCACAGGTAAAATCCAACGCCGGATTGTAGCAGAGCACTTCCTTGCTCAAATCTCAACCGCTCAAGTCCCCAAATTTGGCGCCTAGACTATGTCTATTTAATCTGAGTCGTTCTTTTTCAGACGAATTGATACACGGATATAAGGATTTTTGAAAATTGGGAACTGAAGTTCACTTATTCTAATTAATTGTAACAGAAGTCATGTTTTTTTTTTTTTTTTGGGGGGATATCATCACAAATATATGCAATAAAATTTCCTAATTTTCTTTATTGATTTGAGTGATTCCCAATTTAGGCAAAAAAAAAAAATTCTTTCTTGTTCCATGATGAATCGTTTTCTTTTTCTTTTCTAAGGTGCAACTGCTGTGTTTTTGTATTTTTATGGTTATTGAGGTGGATTCGCATTAGAATGAGTAGGCCATTTTTAAAGTCGAACTTCAATGATAAATGGTGTACAGTGGGCACCAAATATCATAAATAGCTTGATATGTTTGCTCATTTAGGGCTATGTCCTTGTTTGTAAACATTTTGTATTTACCTTTTTGTTTGAACTCGAAATAAAATAAATGTTTTGAAATATGGTATTTTGAATAAGTAATTGAAAGTATATTTGATAATGTTTATTTGTTGTAAAATTTTTAATTATGTGATTTCAAAATTTTTTATTTTTTTAATACTGATCATTATTATAGTAAGTACAAAAATAAGTAAAAAAATCAAATTGATATTTCGACTTTATGCCATTATTTAAGAAAGTTTTGTTATGTTACCGTGCAAAACAAAACATTTTTTTTTTACCAAATGTGTTTTTGTATTAATTTTCACTATTCACTGCTATTAACCCTATCAAAAACAAAATGCATATTAGACATGCTCTTAATTTGTGGATCGTTCACATTTCCCTTAAGAAATTGGATCACACCATTTGAATGTACATATTGACTAAAATCAATTTCACATCACACTCCCCTTAATTGATTGGAGACCATTTTCCAGTAAAAAAAGCATAAGAAAAGCACAGGCCACCTAAATTCATTATCAAACAGCGAGTCAACATTAACCATTTACCAAACAGAAACATATCGATTGCCATATTGAAAACTTTTGCTAGAAAAGAGACTGATGGAAAACATCACAGAATGGAAAATATGATCAAAGTACACTAATTCTTCCCAAGCGAATAACACTCCAAAGCAAACTTCCTTCCAGAAATTAGATTTAGATTGCATAGTAACGCATTAACATAGTATGTGTTCCTACTGAAATTTCTCACCTAAGAGTACTCATTAACAAACTAAACATATGACCATTACTCAGTACCTATGATAGATGAGCAAACAAGAGACACATCAACACAATCCAAACCCAATACAAGGAGTATTCAAGTACAAAACACAAACAATGCAACAACATAAGCAACCGGAAGAAGCCAAACATCAACACTACCTAGGCCTCCTGAAGTTCCTCCTCTTCATCTTCGTAATCATAGCCATCCTCATCAGCCGTTGCATCTTGGTACTGCTGGTACTCGGAAACCAAATCGTTCATGTTGCTCTCCGCCTCAGTAAACTCCATCTCGTCCATGCCCTCCCCAGTGTACCAATGCAAGAAAGCTTTCCTGCGGAACATAGCTGTGAACTGTTCACTCACCCTCCGGAACATTTCTTGAATTGAGGTGGAGTTTCCAATGAAAGTAGATGCCATTTTCAAGCCAGTTGGAGGGATATCACAAACAGTAGACTTAACATTGTTGGGGATCCACTCCACAAAGTAGGAAGAATTCTTATTTTGCACATTAATCATCTGCTCATCAACTTCCTTGGTGCTCATCTTGCCACGGAACATAGCTGAAGCAGTCAAATATCGGCCATGGCGGGGATCAGCGGCACACATCATGTTCTTGGCATCCCACATCTGTTGGGTGAGCTCGGGAACAGTAAGAGCACGGTATTGCTGTGACCCACGAGAGGTAAGTGGAGCAAACCCAACCATAAAGAAATGCAAACGAGGAAATGGGATGAGGTTGACAGCTAGCTTGCGGAGATCAGAGTTGAGTTGACCAGGGAATCGAAGGCAGCAAGTTACCCCACTCATGGTGGCAGAAATCAGGTGATTCAGGTCTCCAACTGACCAAAAAATAAAAAATTGTTAAGTTCGTATATAGTTGAAGTACTCAAATTTTGTAAAGATACAGAAATAAGGTTTTCTTGAGATCCTGTGTCTTTCTTATGTCCCTCTTAATCTTCCATACTCAAGGCTACAAGAATCCCCTTAACTAAAAGAATATTAGACAATCCCAAGCAGATCATACTTCAGATTCCTTCAAATGATTTAATATTCAAGAGAAAGGAGAATCAATGATTAAACATAAAATATCCCAAAAACTTGAGAATCCACACAAGACACAACTGCACATGTGCAGTTGGTTGACTACAATATAGCCCCAAATCCCCTTATATATTTTTTCAAAACCAGGGACACAAAAAGTCCAACAGACACCAAATTAAATCAATTTATTGAATTTTAAAAAATCCATATCTCATGTGAGCCCACAAGCATACAGTCGTACTGCTCCACGCAACAAAATTAAGTTCCTAACAGTCAATTATTATTCCACTAAACAGTTGTTAAAAAACAGGGTCCAGAATTTAGCTAACGTATTTGCTGGACACAGCCACTATAAACTACACAAATCTCACAGTGCCTTTTCCGTAAAATCCTTTTTCCTTCTCTCTCTTTTTTCCCCTTGTTTGCCAGATGCACAAGCACATAACTTACTGTGCTAACTTGGACACACAAATACAATGTTCTCACCAACAAGATGTTTCATTTTATACCATCTCATATAATTTCCTAGGATAGTGAGAATACATTAGACCAGATTTAATTAATATACAATAAGAAAGATGAACTTAAAAATACAATCAAAATCAACAAGAAAGCTAAAAGGCAAGTCTGTGCAGTCATGTTAAAAGAGTGTGATGGCCATAAGTAAAAGGAAAATAAACTTACAGCTTGGTGTAGTGAGTTTTAGGGTTCGGAAGCAAATATCATAGAGAGCTTCATTGTCCAGAACCATACACTCATCAGCATTTTCAACAAGTTGGTGAACTGATAGTGTTGCATTGTAAGGTTCAACGACAGTATCAGACACCTTTGGTGATGGGAACACAGAGAAAGTGAGCATCATTCGGTCTGGGTACTCTTCTCTAATCTTGGAAATAAGAAGAGTTCCCATGCCTGAGCCAGTCCCACCACCCAAAGAGTGGCAGACCTGAAATCCTGAAAGAATTTGAACAAAAAGTAAGAAAGGTTAGGATTTGGATAAGTTTTCAAAATATGCAAAAGTACAAAGTAGCAGAAAATCAATTGCATAACAACCAAAAAAAATATATACAGAAAAAAAGAAAAAGAAAAAAGAAATGATACCTTGAATTATTCTCTAGTTTGGCTGCTGATAAAGTGCAGGAATGTAAGATGATTAAGAACAATATATTTTAGAATTTTATTAGGATAAACTACAACCACTCTCCTAAGCTTGATACCAGTTAGCTTAGCAGTGGTTACAGTGTCACTATTGGCAACATAACACATACCATTCAAACTTTATTTTCTAATTTATTTATTTTTGTCATGGTAACCAATCTAATTATATGGGAAATCAGTGTTATTATTTTTGGCCTAAAACTTTACACCAGAAAATATTAAAAAGAATCATTTTCCTCCTTTTTTCAGTGTTTGGTTTAAACTCTAATAACAATTTACCAATTCTTAGAAAAGGCAAACACAAATAAAACATTTTTTCATTGGCATACATAAAGGTTGATGAGAGACATGTATTAGAGCATATATATGTATATGTTTAAGTAAAGTAGAGTGCACAAACACCAATTCAGATGAAGGAAATGAGTTGATCAAACAATGGCACCAAGTATGTTTTGAAACAATTGTGAAACATGAAAATATGTTAAGGACAAATGTTTTATTTAAAGATAATAACAATCAAGTGCAATGGGAGAATATTTTTTGTGGCTACTAATATAATCTCACTGGTATATGTGTGTCTCTGTGACCACTAATATACGTAGTGCAGGTTAACAGGCACTATGCTAGTGTATATCCAAGCATATATATGTTTATAAAAAATATACTCGTACATGATTTTTGTTTAAAATGACTTAAATTTGGGAAATTATTTACCAAAAATAAAAAAACAATAAGTTATTTATCAAGGTTTAAGCTATTTCCATTTTTATCAAGTGTGGCATAAATCATTACACAGTCAACCAAACATATCAAAATGGTAAAAGCATTTTCAACATGAAAATGTTTTACATCAAACAGAGGGTAAAAGGCAAGGAAAACAAGAACCAAAGTAAATCAAGAAAAATGATAGATCCATTTGAAATATTAAAAAACAATTCTAATACTTTGCTGAAGGATAATTAAGCAAAAAATTACAGTGAATTTTACTTTATTACCGTACACTAACCCTAACATGGGGATCAGGATCAGCAAGGTTGAATAGATCTTGTGAAATGTCAATGAAAACAGATCAATGGAAAAATAGAGGTCAGTGGCATACAAACCACAAATAAATTGACGAGTATGCACCTTCAATCAGAACACAAAACAGTGTATAGGACGACTCTGCACAGCAACATACAAAATAATCCTGACAAGGATCAATATACTCCACAAATAGCATATGAAAATTCACTAAACTCACAAAGAATAATCTAAATCACATCAAAACAGTCACAGTAGTTCATTACTAGCGCACACACTACACACATATAAACCAAGTAAGGAGTACACTTAACTGTGCAAAAATGCAAATTAAAATCACAAAAGGTGTGTAGAATCAACGAGCAAAACAACGATCATCAGATCTACACTACACATACAGAATAAATTGCTTTAATACTGGGAAAAAAAAAAACACTAACAATTGAATCAACCAATTCAAGCAGACGAAAAAATAACAACTACAAAAGCTTTCCCAAAGCACAAAAAGAATAATATAATTATATTACCTTGAAGGCAGTCACAATTCTCTGCCTCTTTCCTAACCACATCAAGAACAGAATCAATGAGCTCAGCCCCTTCAGTATAGTGACCTTTGGCCCAATTATTGCCGGCACCAGACTGCCCGAACACGAAGTTGTCGGGTCGGAAGATCTGACCGTAGGGCCCGGATCGGACGCTGTCCATGGTGCCTGGTTCGAGGTCCATAAGGACGGCGCGTGGGACGAACCGGCCACAGCTGGCTTCGTTGTAGTACACATTGACCCGCTCCAGTTGCAGGTCCGTGTCACCTTGGTATCGACCCGTCGAATCGATACCGTGCTCGGCGCAAACCACCTCCCAGAACTTTGCCCCGATCTGGTTGCCACATTGGCCCCCCTGAATATGAAGAATCTCACGCATTTTCTAGAGAGAGAAAGTACAACGAAGATGGAGAAGGCGGTGAGGTTTAGAGAGAGGAGGGGGGGCGAATCGGGGATTTAGAGAGAGAGAGAGAAGGGGAGGTCTGCTTTTGCAGTTTGGGGGAAATGAGAGAGGAGGAGGGATTTTATGGTGGTATGTTAACGGCCGTTGTCCGCCGTTATGTGAGCGTAGAGAGTTGGGAGGGGAACGGTAACGTCGCCGTCTGGTTTAAGTGGGAATTTAAATTTTGAAATTAGAAACCCTAATTTTGAATATTTTGATTCATACGCGCTCTTACAGTAATTGAAGTAAACGCAACTGCCACGTGGAAATGGAACTCCGATAATAATATATTAAAATCATGCCAATTGTCTGTGAGCATGAAATTGTTAAAGTCAACACGTGATATTGAAACTGATCACGTGCCAGCCATTGCGTTGTTGCAACTACATTGTCATGTTCCTCGTAGATGGTCATAACTGAGAATGAAATGATTTTTTGTCAATTTATCAGTGACAAAATTGATCTCTTTCAATGAAATTAAATTAGACAATCACAATTATATCATCCTTGGAATGATATGGTAAAAATATCAATTACTTTTCATGTTTGTTATTATACCAACGAGTCCTAATTTTATTTTATTTTTTTAATTTTTTTTTTATAACACACTTATCAGTCTCACAACACACTTACTATTTAAGTTAAGAGTGTAATTCGAAAGCGAGACCTCCAAAACTTATCTCCCGAATCCCTGTTGTGATGACCTTGTGGGCGGGTGTGCCGTGGGCGGGTGCAAAAGACACTGTCAGGCTACCACACTGGCGAGTTATGGGTGCACAAGTCCCACGTCACCTTGGTAGAGGAAAAGTGAAGTGCTTATATGTAAGTGCATCATCTCCAATTGGTATGAAGCCTTTTGGGGTGAAGCCCAAGAGCAAAACCGTGCGGACTCAGGCCCAAAGCGGACAATATCATACCATATGGTGGAGTGGATTGTTACAAATGGTATCAAAGCCTGACCCAACCGGAAGTGTGCTGACGTGGACGTCGGGCCTCCAAGGGGGGTGGATTGTGATGACCTTGTGGGCGGGTGTGCCGTGGACGGGTGCAAGAGACATTGTCAGGCTACCACACTGCCGCACTGGCGAGTTACAGGTGCACAAGTCCCACATCACCTGGATAGAAGAAAGGTGAAGTGCTTATATGTAAGTGCATCATCTCCAATTGGTATGAGGCCTTTTAGGGTGAAGCTCGAGAGCAAAACTGTGCGGGCTCAGGCTCAAAGCGAACAATATCATACCATATGGTGAAGTGAGTCGTTACACCTGTCAATACAGTTATGCTCCTGGGAGCATAATCCTGGTTAGATGTCCGCAATTTTGCCACTTACACATTCGTTGGATACTAAGCTACACCCAATAACATAACCACCTCATTTTCTCACTATTTGTTTGAGAACTGCTTTTACTTCATTTTGTTGTTGCTGCAAATGGTGAATTATAGCGAACCAAAATAGAAACATGTTTTGTAACTTTTATTGTGATTTAAATAGTGTCGTACTTGTTTATAAAAAAGTCGAAACCGAAAACAACAAATTTTATGTTTTTGTTTTCCCCGCAATGTAGCATGAACAATACTCCCAAAAAAAAACAAAAAAAAAAAAGAAGAAGAGAAAAAAAAAAAAAAAAAACTCTTAAATGACTTTCTAGCTAGTAATTTTATTTTTAAAACTTACAATATTTTTTTACCAAATATGTTTATCATGTGTTTACTTCCAAAAAACTTGAAACAATCATTACATTACAAAAATACTTCCAACCACCGTTGAACACACTTCACAATAAAAATATTATTTCTGTTTTGGATATTTATATATAATGTGGTAGTGGTAATGGGTGTCATGACAAGAAAGAAATGTGTAGATAGAGGGCAAATATGGTGGAATGCTGTTTAGAGAGGACTAAATAGAAGGAAATGAAAACTTTTTAAAATTCTAAAATATTGAGAGAAATTTCTAAAAAAAAAATAGAAGGAAATGAAATTATTGAAAGTAAGGCTATGTTTGGTAGGGTGGATTTGAAGGGGAAGGATAACATTGGTTATGAAGGAAAGGAAAAGAAAGGGAAGGGAAAGATAATTTTAATTTGGTATTGTGTCTGGTTGATTAAGGAAGGAAAAAAAAAGGAAGGATAATAATCATGTTTGGGGAAATAAATAGAAGGATACGAAGGAGAAGTATTTTTATAAATTTATTATTATGCCATTTTATATTTTAAAATATAAATTTATTTATATATATATAGCTATAGATATGTATATTCGTTCTGTCTCTGTTCTCGTTCTCAACGCCGAATTCCCCCCCTCCTCTGTGCAACTACAAAGCCGAACTTCTCTCTCTCTCTACAACTACAAACTACTACAAAACCTAGATTGTTCAAAAAATAAAAACCCAGATTGTTCAAAGAATCAAAACTTCAAAACTCAGATTGTTCAAAAAATCAAAACCCAATTTCAGATTGTTCAAAGAATCAAAACCCATATCAATCAAAACCCATATCAGTTTCCATCGCCGCTGTTCCAATTCCGGTTCGTCGTTCGCCGTCCCTCTCTCTCTGCAACTGCTATGTCAACTAATTAAGGACAAAATTGGCATCTGAAATCACACACCAAGCCTCTTCTTCCCTTTTCCTTCATTTCCTCCCAATTTTGGGAGGTTAAGAAATTCACTGTTCAAGGCACAAGTTAACCCTCCAAATCCTTCCCTCTCCTTCCCTTTCCCTTCACTCACTTTACTCAAACATAATTTTTTTATAACCCTCCATCACCTTCCCTTCCCTTTTAACCAAATTGAGCCTAAGAGAATGTCTTTAATCTTTTTATTCTCTGCACCCGTCTGTTGTTAGTTGTTCTTTCACTCAAACTATACATTATTGGGGCGACCCCATAAGCAAAAACCAAGATAACAAAGGCTTTAAAAAATTCGGAGTGGCAAAAAGAAGAAGCAAGAGAGTCATCAGAAAATGATAAGAAGGAGGGCAGATGTCGAGATCATGAAACCTTTGTACCAAAGCGAAGGACACCACTGGGTCCAATACTCAACTAATGGTAATCAATTCAGTTGTGATTTATTTATTTTTATAAAAGGTAAATATATATTTTGTAGATAAATATATTCGCGAGTCTCTTACCATATACCTTTACTTTCAAGAGATAAAGAACATATTACTCAAGCAAACTTTAGTGATTCCAATGGCTCCAATGGCGATTAATACAATCACACTCGTTGATTTTTGTTACTTGATTAAAACTATCATTCGAGACTTTGTACGTGCAAAAGTTATGTGAGTAAAAATATATTTATGAGTCTCTGATCATAAACTCCTACTTTCAAGAGATGGAAAACATACCACTCAAGCAAAACTATGATAATTTTAATGGTGATTAATACAATCACACGATTTTTGTTACTTGATTAAAACTATCATTCGAGACTTCATACGTACAAATGTTATGTGAGTACATTCTTAACAAAAAAAAAAAAAAAAAAAAAAAAAGAAAAAAAAGAAAAAAGACTCAAAAATTAGTAATTAAAGTTCGAATTTTGACAAAACTTCAAGCTAAACTATGCAACATTACCAACAGGTCTGTGGCCTAGCGATATAAGGTTCTTACTTCCCAAAGGGAGGTTAAGGGTTCGAACCTCAGTGGAGGCAGTGTGTGAGCCCCAACTAGAAAAAAATAATAATAATAATAATAATAATAATAAAAACTATGTAACATTTTGACATTGCAATGGAAGGACTTGAAAAATGTTGGGTGCTCTAGGAATACGCTACCTACTGGATACTCTATCATCATTTTTCTCGATAATACAAAATATCTTATTAGAAAAATGTTGAAACTCTACTAATTGTTGATATATGTATTTATCCAGTAAGTATCCACACACATTTTTGTCAATAATTAAACTCAAATTCTTTACGTTAGGCTATAGACCTTTTGTCCAGTTTCAATAGTTTCTTTAAGCAGATTGCACAAGGAGAAAAAAAATTTATGTTAATGACATATGAGAAGCTATAATAACCAACATCACTGTAAGGACAGTGAATTGCTAGGAAATTAACGTGTAACCAGTATTTATTACGGAGTACATTTTTTGTTATGTTAATTAGCTAGTACAGTAGTACCTACTCTAAACATATATTTATGAAGTAAGCCAGTGTGAACCATGTGATATAATTCAGGGGGGAAGATGTGATATATATATATATATATATATATATATATATATATATATATTCCAAAATTTTAAGCTCATGATGTTTTTCATATAACATTGAATTCACATCTTAAAATTGAAATTATGAACATATATACTACTTCAATTCAAACTCTAAACTACTTTTATTTTCATTCTAACGAGGAACATGGATTTCATTCAACTATTTAATTATACTACTTTACAAAGACTTATTATCAATATTTATATTATATTTTAGTAAATAACAAATAGGATATATAAAGAAATTAATATGCAAGCTCCTACATTTCATTACATGAAATAGAAAAACAATGCTAACAACAAATATATATACGTTACCATAGTTCTTATCTTGAATTATTTAAACAGCATTTGTATTATACCATATGTGTATATTAGTCATTTATGTTTTGAGAAGTCAATTTTTAATTATACTTTCAAGAAAATATGTATTATACATTTTTTTTTTATAACGAAAAATCAATTCTCTTGCTATCTATATTGAACTCTCCAATTATTTGTAAACTTAAGATGCATATAATCACGTGCATTATTTAAGTTCAGAACTCACTTCTAATAAGTCTTGAAATTCACTTTTATTAAGTCTTGAACGAAATAAAGACATAAATGATTATCTTCAAATGCCTTATTAGTTGAGTTAGCCTTTGTGAGCTAAAAATGCATTATACTTGTATGTGTTATTTTACCATCTTTTAATTTTTTTTTTCTCATTAGTAAAATAATTACTCTAATTTTTGGATTTTGACTTATTAAATAAGAAGAATTATTATGAGTATTACTTATCCGCCTAAGTTGGTAGGACACTCAATATTCAATCTTTGCGGGGTGT